GAAGAAACGAAGAGCATGTCGAAGAAAACACTTGTCACTTTGCATCTACCTTGGAAAAACGGCCCGCTTGGAATACCCTATTAAAACAATTGTCGCTCTCTCTCTCTCCCTCTCTTCCCCCCTCTCTCTCCTCCCTCCTATTCCTCTTTACCACGACTCAAAGCATAATTAATGGCTCTTCCATTACAAAATTAATGTTGTGGCACCCAATTTACTTATGTCTGCCCTAGGACGAGCCCAAAGCGATTTGCAAGAACAAGACTCTCTTTCGTGAAAGTCAGCCAGCAAAAGGGTATATTCTTATCATCCTCATGAAAGTACAAATATATAGTATCCCAAATTCCTAAAAGGCAATGTATTAGCCAAACAACTCTTAAAAGTCATAGTATATTAATGAATATCAAATGAAAAAAATACAATTTTTCAAATAATTATTTTCATAAAATATTGAAAGTTTTCCCAAAAATATAATTTCTATTAAATACAATTTAATTAAATATAGTTATAGGCCGCATTGTCATTAAAGAATTAATGAGCGTTGCAATAGAATTAATCAGAAGAAGAAAGAAAAAAATCATGTCGAAATAAAATGCTACAACTTTTTCGATGGAGCAACTTTATTCACTTTCCACCAATCTGCAAACTTCCATCAGTGTATACGATTATGTTTACGTGTCGGATGCTCTCCGAATGCGAATAATTCGATTTATCGTGTCGTTTAATTCAGAATCGCGAGATCGCTGTCGCTTTCCATGTCAAAGCGAATGAGAACGCACGCATGTATACGTCAACGTATGTACATAAATATTTTATGTATGTCATAAACGTATCATAAACGTTCACTAAATGTACATCTTAAAGGTGTTTTTGAGTGAAATAAGAATACGTCGTATTTAAATATTCGCGTAACAAATAGACAAGTGTGTAAATAATACGCAGTTGGCGACAAAAATATTTGAAAGAGCTGTAACCTTTATCTTTATTTCGAAACAAGCAGTCAGGAATCATTAACAGTCATTAACGTCATCGTTAACTCCTTTCTGTATGCAGAGTAATTTATAAAACGCGTAGTAGAATTTCAGGAGGTAAATGTACACAAAAAGTAAAACAAGTAAAATAATGTTATTTGAACATGGATCGTACATACCATAGGTTCCGAGTTATGGAAGATTAAAGGGGCTTAAAATGCTCTCGAAGCGTCCGCCTTGTGTTTCAACATACGTTACGGCACGCCTTAATATTGAGTCCTTGGCTCGTTGGAAAATACCAGACGTCGTTCGAATTGCTTCGAATCTATTTCGTATCTTTTCTTAGTTCAGGTCGCAAACATTATTGATTTGTGTAACATGTATAATAGATTTTAAATAACCCAAAAATAAAAAGAAAGTCTAATTTAAAACGCGAAATCATGGTGACCATGTCATGGATTCATCCCGCCCTAGCCATCGATCTAGAAAAAAATGGCTTAAGAATATTCGGAAAAATGTATTGCCGTGCATTTATAAATCACATTCTGTACATTAGAGCATTCAAAAATTAGGCCCACTTATTAATAAATCCTTGAAATTCAGTGGACTCTCGGGGTGAAAATGTCACGACTCTTTGTCGCTATTTCGAGTAGCTAAAAAGCGCAATTTTCCCTAACAAAAAGACATTTTTTAAGCACACACGTACGTCTATCGTGCACGTAAATCATTTTCTCCTCCTTCTTCGTAAGAAGCATAAATTAAACGCGGTACTTAGAAATGAAATTGCTCCTCGAGAGGGAAAAGGGGAGAAAGAGAAAGAGTCGTCATCAACGAGTCGTCTCCGGAAGAAACCAACGAGCGACTTTTAGCAGTCTTTAACTCGCCCCTCGCATCGACTTTATCGATAACGACCTATTAACACGGTCACCTACACTTTGATGCGCGCGATCACATTCTACTTTTCGTCTCGTAAATAATTGATGAGCAGCAGCAGAAGTAGACTATACCAATCAATAGAACGAAATTCCTTGAGAATTCTACAAAGAAAACCGGTGTCTAATCATCATTCTCGGCTGGCACGTAGATAAACATTGGACGTATACATATGTAATGCAACGTAACAAGTTTTTGTCCCGATGAATGTAGTTTTGATCTTTTAAAAAACATACGCGTCCTCGTCTTTTCAGTCGCGTGGCCAAGATTGATGGGGCAAAGCGAGTAAACAGCACTGCGTTAAAACTCGACGCATTAAAAATTCTGCTCCTTCCTCTTTCGTCAGAATTCGCGCTTCCAGAGGTATTTAGACAGACCTGCATATCCGTCGATCCAATATAAAGAACGCAGCAATATGGCATTCTCAGATGGCATATCAGACATTTGAGCGATCAACTTCTTTGTGTATTATGCAAATTCATCTGAACAGAAAGATAACATGCTTGAGCATCATGGCAGTTGATCGTCAACGTAACGAAAATTTAACGCGAAGCTGCTTCTTCTGCTGATGAAGATAATATCCAAGTGTCACAGCAGAAACGTCTGATGTGCGTCTCAAGGTCGAACGCATCGAGCGTGGAACCAAATCGATCGTTTATCAAAGAAAGTCGTTGCCACGCCGGCGATAAACCTCAAGGCCCTCTGATCGCGAATTAATCGGACGTCCCTAGCGCTAGCGCGGAAATAGATCGAGAAATCTCCCGGTGCAGGCCTGATAACGCATTCCCGATAACTGCCGATAAAACGCAATCGCCAACAGGAAGCGAAACGAAATGTGACCGTAAACACACGCCTTTTACGACACCCGGGGTTACGAGATCGCGCGTCTCAGAATCGTGCGCCTTGCTATTGTAATTATGGAAATGTAGCGTACTGCGCGTGGCTGACAATAAGTATACCTGTACGTTTAACTCGCGCGAATTGTTGTGAAAAATGTATTACAGCAGCGACAAAACCGTTAAAATTACAAATTTTCAATAAATAAATAATAATAAATATGTATAAATATATATATAATTAATATATATAATAATAAATATATATAAATATATAATAAATAAATAAATATATAATGTATTTATATATTTAATAATATTAAATATTATATTATAATATATTATAATATTAATATATATTATATAAAAAATTATAAAATAATGTATATAACATATATACAATTATAATTTTTCCCCTGGGAACAGGCAAATATAATATATGAATAAGTCTGGCAAAGGCATAAGAGCATTCTCTACACGATTGGTTGCACGTATAACGCATTTACTTTGCGCGACAATGGTAGAAATTAAAATTGCAAATGTATTCATTCTTTTAAATACATACTTATATATATAAACTATAAGATAACGGAGGAATTTTATAAGATAATCTCGTGCAAATAATTTCGCGTAAAAATTTGAGAATACAAAATAATGATAAATTCTGGAAAGTTTCGATTTACGAAACCAAAAAATAGTATTAAAAGTAATAGTAAAAAATAAATTATATTATATATTAAATTATATATTATTAATTATATATAATTATAAATTATATATATTAATTAATAATAATATTATATATATTAATTATACATATTATACATATATTTGATAGTATCAATATATCGAATTCTCTTCTTCTCTTCTCTCCTCTCTTTTTCACGCATTCTCTCTCCCTCCAAATTATTCGTTACTTTTTAATCAATAGTTTGCCGACCACATTTTTTCAATATTTTAAATTTTGTTTCAATCTTACAATTTGGAAAACAATTTACATAAATTCCATCATATCCCATTTAAAATTAGTATTAAAATTTAACAACGTATTGCTAATTGAAGTTACAATTTAGTCGAATATTATTTACATGTGTATAATTAATATGAAATTAATTCCAATAATTGTTTACAGCCTAGTTCATCATTCAAAGTGTGTAAAAGGAGTTAATTCTCATAATTCTCACGGTACAATTACAATGCGAATTAATTGAAAGTCCTCGTAATTGCAAACTCGTGATCGAGCTGGCAACGCGTACAAGTTATTATTTATTACATAATTTTCACCGCAGATGGAATTACACCGGTTACGATTCGTTGATTTTCTAAAGAGTGGCTCTAGGCGTCTGTTTTTCTTCTTTCGTGCGCCAGGCGCGTGATTCTGTTCATGGAAATGCAAATATAACCCGTTTGTTTGCGCAAATTGCAATTCGTACCGTAAGTCCGTCTTCTATTTGCGCTACCTCGTAACTTGGCCGTATACTTTATTCTTCGCTACATCGTCGATATCACTCAAACATGATGTCTAAATTTGCACGTAATTTGTCCGTTTTTCGTGTGCCTCGTCTCATAACACTTTGTCCTTCTCTCTCCTTCTCTCTATTATCCCTCGCTATTATCTAAGAATAATCCGGTTCTCCAGAATTGGATAGCTCTGCCTCGAGTGCGAATAACAGCCGAGAGAAAGAACGAGAGAGGAGGGAGACGCAAAGGGATCGATTCGATAATACGAAGGGAATACACCACTTTCCCCCCCCGACTCGAGATCAGCCCCTTCGCTCGAAAGGGAGGCTGCGACATTGAATCAAAATGTACGGATTATACATCGTGATGACAACTTAATTGCCCTTGAGACTCTATCCTCTTAAAATGGAGTACTTGGCACTGGAGGGGAACTCATAAATATTTTCGTTATGCTCCAAGGAACATTCCTCGCGTAAGGATAAAGAATGATTCATAAGTTATGATAAATCCACAATGGTTAGATTTCGACGTTATTAATAAACGTAATAAATAATGCAATAGTAAACATATTGAAAAATCCGATGCGGAATAGCGGTGAACGATATCCAAGAAACGTTCTATCGATCTATTTCGATCTTCTTATATCGCTCCATATAAATAAATTATAAATGACTAAAAGGTTAATTAATAAATTACTAAATTATAGATTACTAAAAGGTTAATTAATAATTACCATATTATATATACTAAATTAATAAATTACTAAATTATATCCTAAGAGGAACGGATTATCGGTACTTACGGACAAAGATGTTGCTCATGAGCGTGGCCGGCAGGCAGAAAACGATCACGAGCACATCGGCCACCGCGAGATTGACGATGAAAAAATTCGTGACGGTCCGCATGCGGGGTGACCGGTACACGACGGCGATGACGAAACTGTTGCCGATCAGGCCGACCACGAAGACGACCACGTACGCCACGCAGTAGACCGCCGACATGGCCATGCTGTGCCTGTACAGCCGATCGGACGCGTGTACATCGTCGATCGCCGACTGATTCGCGATCTCGCTGGCGTTGAACAGCCCGACCTGGTGATCGTCCATGGTCGCCCGTGGACTCGTCGTCGCGATCGCCTCCGTGATCAGGTTGTTGAGGTAATCGCCGAGATCGTTCCGCGGGTGCAGGGTGCCGGTAGCCGGTGGCGCGACCGCCGTCGTAACCGGCACGTTGTTGCTCCTGCGTCGCGTGTCAACGTCGAACTCGTCCGAGTCCGGTAAACGCAGGGACGCCATCTCCAGGAGGGGAGACGGTGGCTGCAGCATCGGGAACTTGAGCGTAAAGTGACGGATCGACGTTTCGACCATTAGCCGAAACGTTAACGCGGCGTACCGTGGCCTCCTCCGTCGTCGACCACCTCCTTCTCCTCTTCCTCCTCCTCGTTCTCCTCCTCGGCGCGCTCGCCGTCGTGTCGACGACCCCGACGCCCAACCACGACGCCTACGCGACCTTCCCGGGTCGCGAGGCGGCGGACGTCGCCTCGTTTCACTCGACTAGCTTCTCTAGCCTTTCCTAGGCCTCGCCGACGAGAGGTCCGATCTGCAAACACGAGAGATTCGACGGAGCTACCGCTTTATCGTCGGAAGCAACGAACCGTCTGGTAAGCGACTTCCTGGACGGTCAGGTTATCCATAAAACGAGAGAGCTCTCAGCATTGATTTGGAGAAACGCGGAAGTTGGGAAACACGCGTGGTCCAGCCGCACGTGCGCCAGAGTCCATCCGACTCCGCCACCGGGACTACCCTCCGGTTCTCGAGGAGGTAGGATCGAGGGGAAGGTCGGGCAAAGAAAGACGAGGAGCGGGAGGAAACGCGGATCGACGCCGAGTCCGATCGAAGGGAAGCGTTTGCCGCGCGTTGATGCCGGATGCTGGAGCGACTCTAAATGAGCCCGCCTTAGAAGACGACCGCGGACTGCCGCGTCGAGATGCACCCGTCGCGGCGAGCTGTCTGGTGCGATGCTCGACGACTGCGCAAGCGTTACATCCAAGCGGCACATGCACCCGCATGCGATCTGCTCGCGCCGCGACCCGTAGGCAGATAGGGTACGTAGGGCAAAGCAAAGCAAAGGGAAATAGAGGAAGGGAGCGCGCGGACGTGCCTGGGCGAGACAGCGGCGATGTAACGCGATCGCTTTGCCTTGAACCATCGTTCAACCGGCCGGCGTTTCCATCCTCCTGTCCTGTCGAAACCATCTAACTGATGACCTCCATCGTCGGAGGCACCACTTCCGGCCGGGTCCGACCGAGAAAATGACGATGATTTATGCGCGATGTTTACACGACAGTTAAGGAACAGTAATCTGCCTCGTGCCAAAGTCCATCCGATCGAGATCACCCTCCGGAGAGGTGCGATAAGGAGGGGAGGAAAAATTGGACCGAGCATGAATTTGCATGACCCCCTTCTCTTCTTTCCTCTCTCCTTTCTCCCGTTTTCGATTGTATTACTCGCATCGCCGACTCGGCGCCCCGGCAAGACTCCCCCCGACTCTCTTTCGCAAGCGACACACCGTTCAATCGCTTATTGAAGTTGTAACGCTGAGATGCATCGGTGAAACACGATAACGTATTGTGTGGAGATCGAGAAAAGTGGGCTCTCTGATCTTGGAAAACTTATATCAAACTTGTGATGCAAAAATATCTAGATCTTTTCTAAATCTAAATATCTTAATATTCTTCGCCAAATTGCAAACATGATTTAAAATTGAATTTTTACGACTTAATTTTAATTTAATTATTTTTTTTATACTTATATCCAGGAGACCACGTTCAATAATTGACGGTGAATCTTTCATAAGAGGATATTTGCGCATAAAATGACCCTTTGCTGGTATCAATGTATCCCAGGAAGCTTGGGATGCTCCGCGAAAACTTTTGCATGCTCAAAATTTCCTGTGATGTGTCAGAACCATAACTAAAACTGTAACTGGCAAGGGACACCCATTTACATTTGTACAATTTTGACGCTGTCAACAAACGTGTCCTGTGTCACTGTACTGACGGGAAGTCTGCGCCAAAAACTAAAAGTGACGCTACAACTCGAAAGGGACGTGCGTTTCGTAATACATGTATATTTTAGTCTGCATATGTGATGTCGTCCTCTTTTATCTGCCTTGTAATTATTCTTTACTTACATCGATACCTTTGAAATGAGATATTTCTAATTTTTCAACAATCTAAATATAAAATATATATATCTGATATAACATTTTATCGTACACTTTGTTTAAAATATATTACGCCCAAGTGAAAAGCGTACAAGTAATTTTAACTGAAAAGACTCATTTCTGTAGTTTGAACACTTATGAAGAGAATAAACTTGAGCATTCTTTTTAAAAATGGAAGTAATAACGAAAATATTAGAGACTACATCATTCGTATATATTTAAATCATGAGATCTTGCGGTTCTGTAAATAGGACATTCAAAAGACGGATGTGATAACAAAACTACGTAATTTTGAAGGAATCTCGCAGCTCGCTCCATTGCTGCTAAAGTATTTCTGTAGCAGGTGTTTCTTATCTCGAGGAATTTCGTCGACTGACAATGAGTTTCTCATGCTGAATATCTGTCTTTTTGAATGACGAAAAGTTTCGTTCTCGTTTCCTAGGTAAAACAATTATATCCACAAATAAAGTTTATTTTTTGCGAAAATGTAGAACACTTCTTAATTTATTCTAAATAATAAAAAATTAGCGTATTTAAATTATTTATATTTAAATTATATTTTCACTTTCCTCATCATCATAATAATATTATATTTTGACGTAAATTTTAAATTTTATTACATATAAATTGTACGTATAATATAATTTATCATAAAATAAGATATTCTTAAATTATTTATATCTCTTTTTTCCTTAAACATTGATTTATAAAAAAAAATTAATTATCTTTCATCTAAAACATAACGCTTTAGCCTGAGAAGAACCGAAAGATATTTCGACCAGCGAGCATGCATCTGACATTTTAGCCAATAAATCATGATGGTTTTGACAATGGTAGAGGAGTACATCTTTTTTCGACAATGTCAAAGGCACATATTTAAATAAATCTACAAAACATTCGTCTATCGCAATATTTGATGGAAAATACTAAAATTTTAGTTAAATTATATCACTTATATATTTTTCCAATTTGCGCGTGCATGCGTGTATTCCCCCTTTTTTCTTCGATTTATTTATTTATAGCCATATTTTAATGTACGTCAGCCGCATATTTCTCTGTATCTCACAAGTGTTTTATTCTTAGTCATGTATTTATCCGCGCGATTCCACTTTTCGTCGGATCGAAAATAACCGAGTATTTATTAGCGCGAGAATGCGTTCGTGATCAAGAACGAAGACACGTATGGCTGACGTACGTGAGTTGTACTGCTAAATGTTAATCGCGACATAAATTTTGGAAGGGTAGAAGCGTACATCCACTCGCTACGTATATATATCGCTCTACTATCAGCGCGATGGATCAACCCGACGCAAGCATACAGCCACATACAACCACGTGTGTAGCATCGATTAATCTCCTTCCCTCTTCTAATCTCTCGACTCTCCTTTCTCTCTCTTATATCCCATCTCGCGGCACGCCGTCTCTGTATCTTTATCCTCCAGCCCGACTCTCCGTTTATGTTTTTTGCAGTGCATCGCCCACGTACCATAGTCGTCTCTCGCTGATTACGTAGGGACGGAGCAGGAGGAGGGAAAGGAATCGCGATGATTCCCCGGCAAATTGCCCAAATTTCCGGTTTCTAGAAACCAAGCGGCAGCTAAATGGTTAATTGAATCGTTTCTTTCAAGGACGCTCCGCGAAATTCTCTCTCTAATCTTACAGACGGCCATTACTCTCGTCGCGCAACCAGTGGTCACCAAATTCCATTGGTCGAATATCGCTGAAAAAATATTTGCCCGCTATTTTCAGTATTAAGTACAGAATTAACCTGGCAATTCTAATTAATGTCTCGTTAAAGTCCATCCATCATTTTTGCTTAATCTATTACAAGTCTTTATATCTAACTATAAATTCATACATTTTTTGTCAGAAAGGTACCAATTTTTTCCTTAAAAATGTCGCTCTTTATTAAGTTTCGGGCATGTGTGTGTGTATACTTTGATTTAACTGATCCATTTGTCCTAATTTGAAATCTCAGAATATGTCAAAGTAATATAATTGTGTAAAAAGTAACGATAATATTTTCGGAGTAATAATAACATTTAAAATTAAAATTAAATTCCCATTAAAATGTTTCCTCAGAATTAAATCAGGATAGATTTCTGTTATTTAGTCACATTTATAAAATTCAGGAAAAAACATCTGTTTTTTGAAACTTGAAAACGCCAAATAAAAATGATATGTAATTTTTACTGTTCCATATATCCTTATATTTAAAATAATAATTAATAATAATAATATTTCAGATAGTTCCTATTACAATAATAATTTTAGAATAATAATAAGACAAAAATCATATATAGTACAAAAACATAACGAAATGCATCTTGGAAATCTTTCTATAAATTTTGTTTAATATTAATATCCCTCGATAGCATCTATCGTAAAAAGAAACAGCAGATTCGCAAAAAAAAAAAAAACGCAACACGGACTTTTTCCCAACCTTCGCATTTCAGACATCAAGTTTATAGCAAAATAGGTACTTGGTACTTTGTCCTATCGCATTCTTAATACAACCATATCATAAAAGAAAATTGTCTTCCAGAATGAAGTGCGAGGGAGGGAAAAATACCAATGTCTAAAATCACAATGCGCCGACTCCTATTCTCCGCGTATCGGGCTTTGCAACTCCCGTCAAAATAGCCCGTCTTTTATATTCCGTCCTGTTATATTCTCGTGTGTCGCGCGACTGAAATTGCCTTCTCTTCTTATCCGCAAGTACAAGATTGCGGACCGTATCGCGAAGCTGCGGAATGCTCGGACGGGGAGGGAAAGCTCGAGCGCGGAAACTTTGGGAAAATCATAAATCCCGATCCGTCGCCGACTCCTGGTTCAACTTTGTGGGAGTGATGCAGGAGTATCGACTTTTTTTCAGTTGCTGTCGTTAAACGAAGCTCGGGGAGCCACGTTCGTCGGCGAAAGGATACGTTGCAAGCGCGATCATACGGCACGGATTTCGGCGCAATGGAAAACTGCATCGTTGGCGGGCTCGGTTAGAACCCGGGCTCGTAAGCGTTTTCGAATCTTTGGCAAGCACGGAGAGCGAATCCTCCAATTTCTCTTTGGAGAGCGATACTTTTCCGTTCCGCCGAACGGAAAACTGGAAATCCGGGTGCGTCGTTTGAATTTATTGTTTCACCAACGGGACCGAGAAAGAAAGAGACGGAGAGGAGTTTGAATTCGAAATTATCGAAACGCAATTAATATGATTACACCTTGTCAATTATCTTGGAAAAATAATCCAGTCTTTCCAAAATGGTGTTATTTATGGTATTCGATTAAGGATGCTTTGTACGTACAATCCCAGCAAAAAGTAGCTGAAAATCAATATTGACCAAATATTTCCTCTGTATCTAAACTTTTGCAAATTTTAAACAAATTCTGAATATTATTTCCATGTGTTTTTCTCATTTGAATCGACGTGGTTATACGTTTCCCATAAGAACACATGTTAATTTGGTGCAAATTAAAATCCTTATAACTTGCGAGAACGCTTTAGTGAATCGATTTAAAAATTGTACTGAAGATTCTAAACATATGTAAGGACATTCTGTACAATTTTCATTAAATTCTCAATATTTTGAAAATAGGTACGAAACATCCTTAAAGCATTAACGCGCAAAGCGTCTCGCTTATTATTTTTCCGACCACTTGGACGCAGTGCCGAGAGAGAAAAAGAGCGAGTTCTTGACATATATAATATATATACATATATGTATATTTGTCTCGCTTTGTTGTATCTCCCTCTCTTTTCCCCTGCTACGATTTGTACACTCTCATCTTCCCCCTTCGCTGTTATTCCCGACGAAAATCTTAAAAGGGAAGGTTCGGATCTCACCGAGGATCTCGTCCCTCGACACAATGAGACAAGGACGCTCTCTTCGTTAGTATAAACTGCATATAGGTGACTTGCAGACGGGGAGAAGCGCGAGTTTTTTTTCTTTTTTCATCGAGAAACGCTCGTTCCACGCATTTCCCTCGCCATCAGTGAGAAATTGCACTTTGAGAATCGTTCGCCCCCCCCCCCCTCTCTATCTCTCTCTCTCTTTTTATCGCATTCATCCTAAGCATTTCACATTTTTCCCCGTCCTCCCCCGTCCTTCGCGATTTTATATTTCCCCTCCCCCACAATTACTTCGAAATTGCGGGAATTCACGAATTAATCGCCCGTGGCAAAACTACTATCGAAGAATTTCTCGCCTAATTCTAAACGTCGCCACGACATTCCTCTTCCGGATCGCTTCGGGCAAAGCCACCCCTCTCGCCCCCTCTTTAATTTAAGATCGGCACATTGTAATTTTTAAAAAAATATTCAAGTCCTTTAATCGATGGCCGGTTAAAGGCAAGGTCCGACGACACGACGACCTGTAACCTTCTTGGTCGCGATTTTATTAGAGAGACGATACCGCGTTGTAACGAGCGATCGAGTTTCGAGTTGCGGCTGCTGGCCGCTGCGCCAGGCTGCTTCCATGTGCATCTAATAGCTCGAGCTCTAATATATAGGCATACGATTGAATATGCGAATTAGCTCGCCTTGGCGACCAAGCACGGAACAAGTCGTTCATTTTCCCACGGATCGATACTTAAAGAGTCTCCGAGAGTTCATATATTCCGCGTTTCCCGAGCCAGCAGTTGCCGGCTACTCGGGACACATTTTCCAGCTAAGTATTTGTGATATACACATATAACGTGTACAGCGAGCAAAGATACTAATGCTACGGACGTGCTCGTACGAGAACGAATTTTCTCTCGCGGCAACGGAACGCGATAAATTTCACCGCAAAGTTGCCGGACAAAATTATGGACGCCCCGGCTTTTCGTTTTGCAATTTTCTCGAGAAATCTTAGCCAAGAATCCAGTAAAACGTATCGTCGATCTTGAACTTGTAATAACGTCCTCGATCGACACTTGACGGGAAAAGTGACAGGGGATGAAGGAAGGGATTTTCTCTAAAATTGCGAATAAATGAAAGAAAAGCAGAGGCCGGAGCCGAAGATTCCGGATGACGAGAAGCTGCGGGAGCGAAATCGAAGGCCACGGCCTTGTCCGACGACTAACTGACTGCGAAACCGCCGCCGCGTCTCATCAACTCCACCCCCTACGAACGTTACTCGAATATTTGAGTGAAATATTAGATATTTAATCCTGATGTGTGTGTACATTCGGAAAGGAGTCCTTTCCAATGTGCCTCCGCCTGATTTCGCGATTACCATCCGCGCTGGGACACAGCGATCTCGACACATCGTCCTTGTGGATCTCATGGTTGAGATCGAGGTCGCTAATCGGCGACCTTTTAAGCTTGATCCTACAATCGATGACGTAATTTGATTCAATTCGGTTCGATCGGGCGCTTGAAACTTATTTACCGAACATATTAGATACTGCTCCAAGTGTCCCCTCTGGACTCATAGTCGAATCTAATCTCACCGTTTTCCAATATTATTATATGATACGATAAATGTCATACAAAGAAACGAAAATAAATAAGTTAATTATTAAAACCATATATAAAATTTGAAAATAATATTGCGAAATTTAAATTAAAGTCATTATATACATATATATCCCGGTTATATTTATTTTTTCCTTCGTAATTAAGCTTCACTTGCTGTAATTACGTTAAAAATTTCGCGATTATTAGACTGATATTCAGACTGCTCAGAAAAAGGTTCTGCAACAAAATGTCTTTTCTGTAGCTGATATTGCTTCTTCTACTTGCCATGGAAGGTACAAAACGTTCGTTTTTGTCGCGTTTTAAAAACGAGAATGGATAGACAATCGTTCATCATCCACCAGCCGATCATAATAAAAAGGCAATCAGAAACGACTTTACTCCATTTCTGTCCCTTTTTCCCTCGCTCTCGCAGCATTATCAATAATTTATCCGAATGTTCCTTGGATATCTCTGCCTTTAAAAAGGGATTAATAATGCACCCCCGCGTGCCGATTCGATTTATCGTAATTAAAACACCTACGCTGATTTAATCAAGTAAGAGGATTCCTCAGACTGTCGGAGAACTTTGAGAGGAATTGCGAGATATTGACGTGTCTTCGAAGGTCACTTTTGACGAGACGTGGCGTGATTGCGCTCGTATAAGTGCGTATTCCAACCATTCTAAAAGTTATAATTACATATCAAACCTATTAATTATTTCGATAATTTTTACTTTCGATAAATATCACATTACATAACGTATACGTAACTGAAATCATTAAATAGATCGTTTTTATTAATCTTGAAACTAAAAATCGTCTTTTTTACTTTTAGAAATTCAGACAAAAGTAGAGATCATTTATTATTGAAATTATTTTGTCTGTAGTAAAATTTTTGTCCTCAAAGTAGAATAATAAATAGCGGCCCGTTAATAAATTAATGTCCGTTATTTAGATTAAATAGCGAGAGAATAAAAACACGGAGAAAATTTCTTTTCTTTTCTTAGCGATTTGCAACGTATTGTTGTGAAAAATTAGAAATAAGTAGGAAACGCCTTAAATAGGATATTAAATTACATTATATGCTACATTTTATTACATTTTACAAAAGTGCACATATATGCATATATTAAATATATATGTATTAAATAATGACATATATTATATTATATCTATATGTATATATTAAATAAATCGAGGCTAACTTAATCGAGGATATATAACCGTTCGAAGAGTATGGACATATTCACAAAATATATCTATAGTAGTATATCGTTGTATATACTATATATTTATATTATACGATCTACGTATAATATAAATATATAGTATATACAACGATATACTACTATAAATATATAGTATATACGATGTGCTATATATTTATATTGTACATCGAAGAAACATTCACATTTCGCACTTTAATATTTGCGTTATATAAATAATCTTAATCGATATAATTACCGCGCCATAGTCTAATCTAATCTCGATTAATCAAAAAAGTAACATGGAAAATTGAAAACGGTGTCATATTTACAGAAATGAGTGATTTTCTTCGATTCAACGACGTGCAAATACTTTGGCAACGAGATGACACGCTTTGACGAGGAAGAGACCGTATACAACGTACAAAAATAATTGATTCTCCCAATTTATAAAAACAAAATTACGTTATCGACGAATAAGGACGGAAAATTTGCAGCCGTTATATATTCCTCGCGCTCCTCGGAGATGTTTCTCCGTTTTTTTACAAATCGACGTCGCTAATAGAGCATGTGGCTGGCGCTGGATGTACCTGCGAATGCGATTATCCGCTCAAATTAGACAAGTATGTACTATTAAGATGTATTTTTCGTTATGTTGCACCGAAATTATATCTGTTCCAGCTGCTCCGTCTCCTAATTTCGTCGATATCGGACCTACCGTGAAGGCTGGCCGTCGTAGGATTCGTTTGGGAGCCGGCCGAAGAGATCTCCGTTCCAGGGTGCTCGTGTATCACTGTCTCGGTGATGTTGTTCTCCGCCTCGGAATGCATGCGGCGATGTTCCGCTTGCCGTCTTTTCTCGGTGCCGGTACCGCTACAGCAACGTTGCTCCCGTTGCAACGTCATTTCGTGGGTGTAAACGGATTCGCCATTCGAGAAGGAGTGGAATCGCTGTCGTCGTTTAGCCGCTAGCTTTGCTCGTCTGCCAACCACGCTCGAGGTGTCGTGAGACCCGCGCGAGACGTCGTTGCATCGCTCGTGACGCTGAAGGGACTTGAGCGAATCCTCGTACCCGCTGAAAGAAGATGGAAGAAAGATCTTGTGTGGGCCATGGAACGAAGACTGGGGGAGAATTCGATAAATTCATGAGACAGTTATATCTTGAATCAATAAGATAATTCCAATTAATGACATTTTACTTCTTTTTATCATTTTTCTTGCAAATGTCTACCACGCGAATTCGATTTTCAAGCTTCGAATATCGAAACCGACTTGAAGGGAGACGAAAATATATTGAAAGCCCTACTTACTTGCTGCTCTCACCGCTGGAAGGACTGGACGAGTGACTGCAATGGCAGGAGGTACGTGCCACGATACCGGAATCCTGACCGCTGGAATGTAAGGATGTCGCGGATGCCTCGAGGCCTTTCAAGGTACCCGTCGACCGCACCGCGTGTTTTCCGCCTCCGCCCATCCTAAAAGTAGCTCGTGACACGATGTCGTCTCGATATATTGTAAGATACTTCGAAATTCTCCGATGCAGTAAACAATAATAATAGCTTTTCTTCGAAGTGAAGGAGTCATCGCGATGTGCTCCGATTGCATGATACATTGTGCGATTTTCTGTTTCTCCAACATTATTTATCCGATATAGTTTGAAAATTTATTTGAACAGAATTTTCTCTATTAAGATAAGAGACAATATATATATATTTTATTGTCATTGCTATGAAAATTGTTTAGGTGCATTTTTTTATACGCTTTTTATATTTTAAATATTATATTATTTAATTATATTTTAAAAATTATTTTATTCTTTATTGAATTTTAATTCAATTTTAATATACAAGGTTAAAAAATTTGCCAAAAATATTTCATATTTTTGTAATAAATTTAATATTTTAATATTTAATATTGCAAAGAATGGCAATTTAATTAAATAATATGTGATGATGCTTCTTGTTATCTTTTACATTGTTCTATATAAAAAATGATGGAGAAAATTTTATGTATATTTTATTTATATTTTATTATTTCAAACGTCACTTATCCAGAGATATCTCTTGTATATACAGAATGATCCATTAATCTATAAATAAACTAAACCACATATGGCTATATACCCATAATCTATAAATGCGTTTATCTCTGAAAGTAGACAAACACAAAAGAAGTAGCACATATGGAGATTAAACTGTTTCGCGGTTAGATAGCCTGTATTGTTTTAAGAGTGGAGGCGTTTCGGATTTCAAAGTCAACTCAATTTTTTTAATGAAACCAAATACGTTTTTTTAACATAAATCGATTCTCTTCGCTATTCTACGTATAAAAATAATAATTGCTTCTTTCGTTTGCCATACTTTAGAGATAAATTAATTTATAATGAATCACCCTGCATGTATAAATCACACGAAAAGCTTCTCGACTACCTTATAATAATCTTCGAACAGGTCAGAACTTACGTGTGAAAGCGGACGCAGCTGCCGCCATGCTCGCATATGCTTTGACGCCTGGGTACCTCGGGACAAAAGGGCTCGGGGTCATAATGGAGACCGTCGACGAAGGTAGGAAAGAGCGGCGGCTTCTGCAGAGTGCCGGCAGGATCCGTCAGGGCGAATCCGACCGGGCTGATTGTCGAGAACATGGCCTTGTCTCGTCGTCTGCGACTAACGAATGGAATTTGAGATTCCCAGTTCAAAGTAGCATTCAGTTTGTGGGAAATCAAGAAGGAAAGTCATCGCTCAGAACGTTAATTAAAATAATAGAAAAAAACATCAAAACAATTCGTGCTATCCCTTTCTTCTCATCCCCGTGATTATTTTTCTCAACATTTCCTCGCATAAGACTTGATAAATTTAGATTGAGAACGTATGTTAATGAGTGTTAATGTTATGTCCAAAAGAAAAGAAAAAAAAAAGAAAAAAGAAAGAAAGAGAGGGTAAAATCTTGCATAAAACATGTCCGGGGATTAGTATGGTAGTGTAGATGTACGAATTATCCCAGATAGCCAAATGCAATGAGGTTGCTGTCATGTTGTCAATAATTATTGAAGCAACTAATTTTAACAAACTAGAGACAAGGTGAGACAGCATTATGTCTGTTACGTGGAACTCACATGAATTCATGTGCTAATAACAACAAATTAATTGCAACGTGTCAACATATTGCTGACATGTTGTAGACAACGTAATATACCAATATTGCAGACCATTTGCTTCGTTAATTATTTGCATATAAAAGCAGACATATAGCTGCATTCGTAACGTATTCTATCTCGATGTCAGCAAGTATACTGCAAATATATAATAATACATGCATTTGTTTGCTGAATATGTCATATCAAGCTTGGCTATCTGGGATGGTAAGGGTCCATTTTAAACGAGATGAGGGCGAGCAAAATCATATTCCGCGTACCGCTTGTTGCGACGAACGCAGGTGACGCATAAAGCTGTTACGAGGGCGCCCACGAAGACGACGCAGCCGAGGACCACGACGCCCACTTCGAGGGTGGACAGCAAGTAACGTTGATTGCCTCTACGCGGAGCGCTACCGACGATCTCCAGCACGCGATACTCGTCCAGCTCACGTTTTATATCTGCCTTCTTCATATTAAAGACACTGAAAACGTATATATACGAGCTTTTTGTAATAATTTGGTATCAAACATGAATAGCGTAAAACTTCATATACGAGATAGAAATCGAGTTGAATGATCAATCTAGAGTAATCTAATTAAACTTTTGTAAAAATCGACTCCAAGTTATATAATTAAGAAAATTTGAAATTTTTTTATATAATAGTGTGCAACAAAAAGGAATTAGGTTAAGATAAAGAAAATCCTTGTGATTTTTATACGTTACAATTATTAAAAATGTTACAGCTTTTTAAACAAAATTTAAGATTTAAGTTGTAAAGTATTTCAACGTAAATTCTTATGGTATAGCTACGGTATGTGACATGCTAACAAAGTTTTACTTCGTTCAAAATTAAGTATATAGTTAAAACTTTCAACGCTCAAAAGAAATTTATTGTGAAGATTAAAGTTAATAAGATTTCCGTGATTAAATACTGGATTTATTACATCGCGGAAAAGTTGTAATTAATTTTATCTACATTCTATTCTATGGCTTATATCAAACCTATCACATTGTGATTAAGTTTAACATAAAATTTATGTTCAATAACCTTGAAAGCTTTCACATAATTATTTCTTGTAATTTCGCGAAAATTCGACAATTTCTTAATTTTGATATATTATTTTCACCATTTCGAATTTGTATTTAACAAAATTTTTATCATTTTTAAATAAACAATTGAATATTTAAATGAAGACTTAATTTATAACTTTCTCACAATAAACTCATTTAATACAAAATTTTGTTATTAACTATAATATTTGCAACACATTTTTTTATAACTAAAGATTTTAACAATTTAACTAATTTTAAATAGAATAAAAACTGAAACTATTTCAATATAACATGTAGCTGTAATATAATAAAAAAGCTTTTTAGGCAACTTTACAATTTTTTAAATTATATTTAACGTAATAGAAGATTTTTTAAAGTCGATATAGAAAACAAATTATGGAGAATAATTCCATTCTTTCATGAGAGTTTAAAAAAAAAGTTATTTTTGTTAAATATATATTTATATAATCAAAATAATAATATGATTAATTACTTGTTCAAAGTATCCATGTCCACCATAGTATTCAGATGTGGATCGATCGCGTACAAATAAACATCAGTGCTGAAAATTAAATAAATCGAAAATTCAATTGGCGACTGTACAAACTTGGAGGATATCATTCGTTCACCAAAATCGCTCGGCGGAATCACTTACGAGGCTGCGTCAATCAAGTTTTTTTCGATGTGGGGCTCCAGTTTTCTTACTCGCACGTCCAAACCAGTGACATTCTGCAACGCGCTGAAAAATTATAGTTCCTGTAAGTTCGCGATATTTCTTGCGATAATATATATATATATATATACTTACGTGGTGATGCTTTCGAGCTCCGGCTCGATCTCGATAGGTTTCCGCCCCATAACCATGACAATTTGCTTCTGATCATCCAACACGTACACCTACGAATTCGATAGCGATATACATATCGAGTAGCAAAACAGATTGTCGAGTGAAACGGAGAGAGAGAGGAGAGCTGGGGAGAGATGGGGTGTTTCCTGTCTTTCGAAATATCCCATTTCCCAGAGAGGAAATTAGCCCGAACGCTATCTCCAACGACAAGTAATTAAGATGTACCACGTGTATGCGTGTGAAAGAGAGAGAGAAGGAAGGAGACGGGTAATGTGGAATATGTACGACAGACTTACAAAGACATTGGCGATGCTGCTCCGTCCATTTTCGGCGCCCTGTCTGTCGGTGGCCTTGACGTCGAAGCCGAAGACGCGACCGGCGTCGCGGCCGAAACTCGCCACGGATCGCACTTGACCGCTGAGTGGGTCAATGGCGAAGCGCGGGGCATCCTCCCGGCCAAGAATTTGGTAGCGTATCTCGCCGTTTATCCCCAGATCCGGATCCTCGGCCTGCGAATCCCCGCCAAGAGTGCCAAATAAATCTCGCCGACTTTATCCGCTTTAAAGCTGATGTACAATGATTTCCTGACGCGCCGGGATCTTTAATTCGCAAAGGCTTTTTACACCGATCGAAACTTTCCAATTGTAGAATTGTTTCTCCAGATTCTCTCGTTCCATTAGCGCGCATTCTATTACATTGCAACTAACAGAATGTTCCGTATAAGTGGCATGGCATTTGCCATGTGAAAAAGCCATTTCGGAAAATCGAATAAAGCTTAAAAGAGAGACGCTCCAGAGAGACGAAAAGGTAGAAAGAAAGGGTTGGAAGTAACGTAAAAACCAAAATGGATTAACACCAGCTCACTTTTAGTCGCATAGCCCTTTGTGTAAGTGTGTGTGTGTGTATTTGTACGTACCTCCACTTTGACGACCTCGTAACCGTAATGGGCAGTAGTGGGTATAGCAGCGAGGATAGGCCTGTCCCTCGACTTGAACCTCGGCGCGTTGTCGTTCACGTCCTTTACCCTGACGACCACTCTAGCCTCGTTAGGCGCTAAACCATTTAGTCTCTCGCCGACGACCGGATAAATCATCACCGGCATGCCGCGGCCAATTTTTAATCGATCGACTCTGACTTTGGCCTCGTACCGATCTCTGATCTCTCGATCGACCTCCGTCATCAGATACAAAGAACCATTTTTCGGATCCACCGAGAAGTGCTCCCTGCCATCGGAACCGTCAGCTACCAAACTATATCTTATGTGATCGCCGTGATAATTGTCAGCCAGATCGAGCTGCGCTATTAGTAACGGCACGGAGGAGTTTTCGTCGACTTCCACCTCGTAATAACGGTGCCGGAAGGTTGGCATCTTGTGCACCTCGTTATCCGTTTCCTCGTCATCGTCGACATTCAGTACGGTAACGAGGATCACGGCCGACGAGGTCAAACTGATCGGCGAGCCCAGATCGCTCGCCGTGACGATTAAACGATGATCGCTCTTGGTTTCGTAATCGAGCTTGGCGATGGTCGTGACGATGCCCTCCTTGCTGTCCACCGCAAAGTACTGCTTCTCCGCGCGATCCTGATAGCTCAAGTCGAACAGGATCAATCCGTTTCCATTCCCGGCAAAATCACTATCGTTCGCGTATACCTTGGCCACTTGATGACCGATCGGGATGTTCTCCAGAACGGAAACGCGGTAGATTGGCAATCGGTCGCCATCTTTCTCTACCTCGTCGTAACCGTGGAACGTCGGTGCGTTGTCATTCACGTCCAATACATTAATTTCTACCTCCACGGACGAACTCAGACTCGGTAGACCTTGATCGCGCGCTACCACAAGGAGACGATGAGTCGCGGCTCTCTCGCGATCGAGAGTCCCGCTTATTCGTATTATTCCTTCACGAGGATCCACGTCGAACGAACGCGAGTTGCCGATCTGTTTCGAATCCTCGTGGCTGGTGATCAGTTCGTAGCTTAGATCGGCGTTGGCTCCAAAGTCAGCATCGAACGCCCGCACCGCGCCAACCGCGTGATTACGGTAGGTACCCTCGGCCAAGTCGAAAGTGTACCAGGATTTGTCGAAGACGGGCGCGTGATCGTTCACGTCCGTCACGTGAATCCGGACAGTGATATTGTCTGAGAGGCCGCCCGAGTCTCTCGCCAGGACAAACAGCCGGATATCTTTCTCAGACGGTAGACTTCGAGCGATGGATATCTCGGCCGTACGTGGATCGAGGTGGAAGTAACGGCGACTGGTCGAGTCGTAACGACGAGATCTCACTTCGTTCAAAATCGTTTCGTTGCTCAGACTGTACACTATCGTCGCGTTCGCGCCCTCGTCCTTGTCATCCGCCAGCAGGCGGATTATTGGCACGCCGATCGTCGTGTTCTCGGGTACCAGCAGCAGCGGCGAACGTCGCCCGCCATCGCTAGTCTGAGATGTTTCCCCATCCCCCATCTCAACGGATTCATTAGGGTCGTGTGATACGCGCACACCTTGATCCGGCAGGACCACCATTCGTATAAACTTTGGCGCGTTGTCATTCGCATCCAGCACCGTTATCCTCAAAGCACTTTCCGAACTTAGTCCACCTAAAACAAGAAATATCTTTCAAACATTCGTTTTCCGAACCTTAACGTATCAAATATCTTTCGAAATATTTCATATTAAACTTATGATGAATTTTTCCATAAATTATAAAAATATTACAAATAAACAACAAATTTAATATAACACAATATTTAAATGTTAGACAAACAGAAATATCTGATAAACAAAAATATTAAAAAATGAAATAATATGAAAGTTAATAGAGAACTTATGGGTACACTTACCACTATCAGTGGCGATAACTTGCAGGTCGTAACTCGTTCTCGTTTCGCGATCCAGGGTTCCATTATCGATACCCATGAAGAACAGTTGGCCTGTTAACGGATCGATCCTAAACAAGCCGCTACCCTCGCCTTGTAGAGCAAACGTGAAATCTCGATTTCTACCTTCGTCCTTGTCGCTCGCCGCGATCGGATTTGTCAAAGCGACCTCCGTTCCCGCAGGACTGTTCTCCATGATCCGACCTTCGTAAGCGGGCAGAGTGAATTCCGGCGCGTTATCGTTGTCGTCGTCGACGATGATTCGCACCTGAGCATTTTTTTTATCGATCACTCAAAATAACAATTGCACGAAAGCAACAGCAAAAGCGTATTTTAGACATGAAAAGTTTACCTGAAATACACCCACGCCGCGCGAATTCTCGGCGATCACAGTGACGCTATAGTTTTCCTTCGTCTCGCGATCTAGGCCTCGAGGAGCATAGAGAGAACCATCGTTCATAATGGCAATATCCGGTACGTCCTGCTGATTAACGATAAGGAACTGAATGTCAGATGCTGTGCCATTATGCGGAAGCACTTGGCCGATCAATGTATTGGGAACATTCTCCATCACATGGAAGACCAAAGGAGCGGTGGTCGTTCCTCTGCAATTAATGGTCATCGATTTTTTATTCGAATAGCGTTGTTTCCAAAGTATCGGGATTTTGGACACTTTCCCAGCAAAGTTAATCGGTAAATCAATCTCGCGACGACAATATGTCGAAAGTATAATATATTTAACGGATCTTTATTAATTGGAATAAGTCAAATGTTAATTGGCAAGATTTCTCCTAAACGCGACCAATAATCAGAGGGGAGAGAAATTATTTAATTTTTATTAAAGTAATTTAATAAAGAATTATTTTTTATACTTTTAAATGTAATTATAATTTTTTTATTTTATTGTTATACTTTGATAAGATTTTTATATTTATAACAAGGGTTATTGTTTTCTCTTATGGAAATAATATATATTTATTTTTTAAATTATTCAATTTTATTAATAATTATTTTTTAGTAACAAAGAAGGATATATATTTTTATAAGTTAATTTCCATATTCAACTATTCAATAATAAAATTAATATAATCAGTTTCAAAAATATTATCTTATAATAGTTTTATTTATGTAATTATTTATTTTGATTTTAATCCAAAAAGCCAAAAGAGAAAAGATATTCTTTCATAGATTTTTGAAAATCTATGAGATTTTCATCTTTATATTTGATATTTAATTGTTTTATATCCATTATATTTATTTAATTAGACTTTTAATTCAATTAAATTGCAGATCAATAGATTTTATTGAAAAGAAATCTGAATTAGTTTCAGGATTGAATATTTTAGAGAGAAAGCTCTTGTATCATATCCCGCAACGGGAATCGTGTTTACTTACTTTGTAAAAATGCCTCTGTCGTCATTTGGATCCACCACGTGAATCGAGACATTCGTAATCAGCGTCAACTCTCGCTCGTCGGTGACGATCGCCTCGAAGTCATATACGAACCGATCGAAGCGCTCGATCTCCTCCACGACGCTTATCGTGCCCGAGCGTTCCTCCACGGCAAATGGAACTGAAATCCGGTATGCATGTATGCGGCATGTGTTGCGTATTTGCATGAATAATAACCGGCATTTTATGCCTTCGTGTGTTTCTGGCCTCCGCGGAATATTAAAATTAGAGCGTACCTGAGGACATCCCCTCTCTTTCAGGTTTATCTGACGAGTTTATTAAATCTATCGCATTAAGGACGGCGACTATGTAGCTTTTAATTTCCGGGGGGCAGTACGCGAGATTAATTTTAACACTTTGCGCGTCATTGTCGTCACGTATACGTACCTCCCTCCTCGTAACTGTGCAGGAGATCATAGATGAGATCGTTAGTTTTGACGGCGTCGTTTAAGCGGATCTGCCCAACGCTGGTGCCTACGGGCACGTTCGCACCGACCCAAAACTCGTAGGGCGCGCCGACGAAATCTGGCTCCCACGAATCTGGACCTGAAACGTGAATACGAGTCAGCTGATGTTCCGGTAAGTAGTTTACAGGTGCTATCGAGCGAAAGCAGATTTATAAGGATCCGTTAATCTTGTCGGATACTTTGTAATTATTTATTTTCTCAAAACAATTACGATTATAAACATTCTTTTATACTATGTGAGCCACTTTAGTCATATAACATTTAGTTCCTAAACGCAACTGTCATTATATTCTGTTCCATTTAAGGAGCTCTATAAATCGTCCAACTTATACTTACCGTCTGCTCGAAAAACGTTCACCGTAACAACCGCCAAGGAGAATCTTTTTTCGCTGGGATTAGCCGGCTGATCCGCTGCCTCCACGAAAATCGCGTGTCTGCCTTCAAGTATCGGACTCTCCGACACCACGATTAAACCTGTATTTTCGTCCACCGCGAATGGTGGTTTGCGCAGCGTGGAATTGCCCGGTTTCTGTAACCGATAACGGACCAGTCCATTGGAGCCTAGGTCGTCGTCCACCGCGTGCACTTGGCCCAACGCGGTGCCGATCTTCGCGTCGTTCCTTGCCACCAGCTCGTAAAGATTGCCCGGTACAAAGATGGGATTATTATCGTTGGCGTCGAGCAAAGTGACCTCGACATCCACGGAAGATTTGCCGGAGGTGTCACTTATGACGACGCTTGGTCGGTGCTCGACAGCGTGAACCTTCATCTTCAGACGATCCCGCTTCTCGCGGTCCAGGATCGTTTGATCCCGGACAGTAAGCCAGCCGGATTCCGGATCCACGGAGAACGCGCCTGACGGATCCTCCAACCGGTAATCAAACTTTCCGTTTTCTCCCTGATCCTTGTCGCGCGCGATCACCTGTAGCACGCTGAAGCCGTTCGGCAGATTCTCCACGATGCTGATATTGTAGAGATCGACTTCGAACTGTGGCAGATTGTCGTTTAGATCCAGCACCTCTACTTCGACCCGCGCGACGGCCATCTTCAGCGGGTTGTCCACCTGCGACGCGTAAACTTGAAGATTGAACGTGTTGCCCGGCAAGGTCCGCTCGGCGTCGAGGTCAATTGCGCGTTTCAGGAACAGCGAACCGTTCTTCGGATCGATATGGAAGAAGCCTCTCTCGTTCCCGGATATTATGTCGTATCGCATCGGCACATTTATGTCCCGATCACGATCAACCGCGTGGATCGGACTGGTGAAGTTGATCTCTGTGAAGATTGGATATTCCTACGAGAAGAACGAGAGATCAATATATTCTATAATATTGCGTCAAAAAAACGAAATTTATTGAATGCAAGGTAATGTCTTGAAGAAATTTTCTTGAAAAATTCGAAATCTATTTATCCTTTTTCACTCTTTTGTCAAATTTAGATCGTGTTAATCATTAATGTACTTTCTTTACTTTTAATTTTACATATTAATTTTATATTTTAAATGTATATTTATAAAATAAAATTCCTCAGATAAAATTATGGTTGAATAAAATTAATTAATTCAAATAAAATATAAAAAGTGAAATAAAATAAAATTTGATCATCATTTAAATTTAATTTCGTTAAATAGAAATTATCCGCATATTTTTATTAATGTTACGATATTTAAATAATTCTCCTTCGATTTTCTGTTTGATTTCGATGTTAAAAATCCAACAATTTCAAGAACACCTAATATGTAAATACATTTTTGTAATCATACCGGTATAGGATAAAATTCATAGATCTTCGCCTTGTAGATGTCCTTCGTGAACTTTGGGTCAAGATCATCGTTGTCTACTACAGTTATTTTTACGGTCGTGTTCGTGCTTTTAGCTGGGACACCTCGATCCTAAAGCATTGCATTATTATATGTTATTGCATCGTAACGATTATTAAACTAATCTAATTCGGCATTATTCATTGCCAAATTACTACTGGACAATTTCTGATGATATTAATGAAAATTATTATAAAATGCAACACAGTTATTTAATTATTAAATTTTTTCAAACAGCAAAAATTAGAGAGAAAATGTTGCAATTTCGTGTACTCACGGTCGCGGTAATAATCAAATCGAATTGGCGATCTCCGCTATCGTAGTCGACCGGCTTGCGTAGTATCAAGGCAGTTCTGTGTCCGGATTCGAGAGAAAATTTGCCCTGCTCGTTCCCTTTCACGATGGCATAATAGACATCGCTGTTGGGCGTGTTCGGCTTGTCGCCGTCCAGCGCGTGAATTCCGCGGAATATCGTCACACCTGCGATTTCATTTTCTCATCAATTTCGCGTGGAAATCATTTTCGAAAGTCGCGAAAACTTGTTGAAAGATTCGACTAAAGCACATCACTTGAAAAAAATAAATATCGAACGCGCTCAAACGCACGGTGAATCCTGAACAAATATTTCATCTCCTCCAATCACGTGAATTACATGACGTATGCGCACGAAATAAATGGGATATTAATTAAGCTGAAATTTAGGTGCGCCAACTTCGATAGTATATGGGGTTAATATCTCACCGACTGGCGTAAGCTCGTCCACCGTTACGTGATAAGGCGCATCGACAAATTGTGGCGCGTGATCGTTTATATCCTCCACGTAGACCGTCACTGACAAATGCGACGATACCTAGACACATAAACGTAAGTCATACACGTTGGATCGTTGCACTCGCTATATTCGTCTCTCTAATCCCAATGCCGAATTGTCATGTCTCAGAATTCGGCTTTACGACGCGACGTATCGTAAAACCGACGCTATCGCGCCTTTTGGGAAATGAAAAAGGATCGATACCCGTAATACCCGAGAAACGAGACTCGAGATCAAGACTCACGCACGAATCTAGTACGCGCGAAAGTCGTAATTTAATCGAGTAAATAGCGCGCGCTGTGAATGGCAAGATAGATCCCGGCGTATTATTGATCGCCATTTTTACGTCCGCTGAATATCTCGGAGCGCAAATCGAGCGTTGAATTATTAAAAAAAAGTGAGAGAAATGTCATAATTTACATCCTTCGAAGTGTCGAAATGTTCGGAAACGAGAAATTATAGAAATGCTCGACAGGTTAAGAGGCTATTAAATAAGCACGGTATTACGTGCGCTAACCGGAAAGCTTAAGAATCGTTATATAAACTCTCATTACCGTGCGTGGAAAATCTTTAAAACCGGCAAACTCGTTTCGCACCACTCAATCCGATCGGCACACGTACAATTTAAACTCGAAACTAGACGCACGATAATCACAACTAAATATAATCCGAATAAATCGAATCCTATAATAACCAGTAAGTAAAAAATTTGATTAGGTCATTCTCGATTTGATCGCAAAAAAAATGCCAATGACCGATAAAGTCCTTTGTAATTTCGTAACTTGCCGAAGAATCACCGGTGCCCGAGTCGCAGGAAACTCGAAATTTTAACAGGTTTCTCGGAGATTCCGTGTCCACCAGATCCTCCAGTGATTGTGCCAGGACGAGGGAGACGTGTGTCTCGTTCGTTTCCTTGTAAGCGAAAAAGCCGGCGTCCTCCTCCTGTAAAATTTATATCACCGTCTCATGCTGATACACTCACTCTATACATGTAGAGATAAAAGAAAAGTTAATATACACAAAGAAATTGAGATATGTACCTTGTCGACTGACGTAATGACGAGTCGATCTCTCGGATGTGCTTCCAACGAAAGAATTTCAGTTCCTATTTCCAGATTCTCCGGTACCCTTACGAATTTCAGATACTCTCCGATGGGATAAAACTGGCATCCTAACGAGAGAAGAAAAAGATCTTAAGTTTCCCCGTAAATTGATTAAGGCAAGCGTAGGCGTGAATTAAAATACAATAGTTTATCGAATTATTCTTAAGTAAATCCATTTTTATTTCTATAAAGTAAAATAGAAAGCAAGGCAAGACAGCGTTCTATCAAATATGACGACATAAACAACGTTGTTTGTCTTCGTTGGTTGTCAATTTTCGACTATTTGCCGACATTCTTCCCTTTACTAACTTACTTTCAAAGTTCATGACAAGAGGAAATCAATATATGCAGTCAAAATAAAATATTTTCTCTAAGTAGTTGTCTCCTTGTATCGCAAATATAAAACTTTGCAAATAGTTTCATCCGAAAGGATATATGTATGAATTTTTCGACATCATTTTCATCCATTAATAAAATAAAATGCGACTTTTTATAATTATATTGTATAATTAAGAAATAAAAAATCAAATAAATCGAACAAAGTTCAAGTTCAATGTGAATAATTCAATTAACTTCCATGTGTTTTGCATTACATCTTGTACTTGAGGAATTCAATCTCTCTTTACGAAATTAAATTTCTCCGTAATACTTAAATAATGGGCCTTCTTGCTTGCACAATTTATCATGTAGATCAACTTGAAGCGCACACGTCAGAAAGATCTGTGTGATTCGATCCTCTCATGCAATCTCCTTGTTAGCAAAAAGTATCGAAACTCCCGATGAAATCTCTCACGTAGAGCATAATCTGTTGATCGCTTAAAGCACAACAGAAATGAGCGCAAAAACTATCGCGATGTCTCAACCTCCGTGTGAGAGAAAGAGAGATGTGGTTTCTTGTGTGAAATTATTTTCGCAATTACTTTAAGTAATACAAAAGCGAGAAGCACAGATATTTGTTTGAGATTTATTCGGGATTTGTTTATACTTGCATTTCAAATAATAAACGCATCATCCAGATCTGGGACACATATTTCGTCACTATAAAATGCGAGCCTGGACTTTACACTATTGTTGCGTGTTGCGGTGAATTCACATACAAACGACTAATTATCCAGCGTAATCTGGACTCGAGAGTGAAACATCGCTTCCGACTGCGAAAGGGAACGGATCGAGAGACGATAGCAACGAAAAGGAAGTTCTCCGATCCTATCTGAAATTTATTCAGAGACTCTCTGGGATCGTTCGGTCGATCGGATCGGATTCGCGCGAGTCTTCTCCGATGATGATTTTCGTGGCGATTTAATTCACGTGCAGTGCAATCTCGTTAAGATATATTTACAGCTCCCTCGTGTGAACGGAGTACTTTTTATCTTCTCTCGCGTTGTAAAAACGCCGCCCGTTGTAAAAATTCGTAACGATTTATTTCGAGCACTCGCAAACTGCGCCCAAACCATCTTCTTATTCTCATCTAAGCTTTTTCCACGGCGCTCCGCATCGGAGCAATTGCGAAATGTAAACATTTCCACTTGTTTCGTATATATATTGCAGAAACATATACAGGGTATATCAAAATGTAATATCAAAAAACGTGACGAAATAATATTATATATTTTTTTTTCTTTTTCTTAACATGCACGTTGCATTGTAAATATCTTTTATTCTTTAATAATATTACTTATTACTAACTTAAACAATATCACATACGTGATGCTTTTCATAAAATAATGCTTTATAAAATAATAATATACAGTGTATTTTTATTTATTTATCGATCTATTCTTGAAAAAAAAATATATATATTTAACAAGCGTTTCATTGCCGTCTTACCTTTCTTACACTCTGTATAAGAGATGCGAGAAAAGCAGCCAGTTTCGCATTAAGATTTCTTGCGTAATATTATTGCATCCGGATCTCATAAATCTCAATCCACTCATAGGTAAGTTCGGGCTTGATACATTGTTAATTTGCCCTATTTACGTCGCGGCGGGGCTAACTCCGGCATCATTAGTTATCTCGCTCCGAAACGCGGTCCCTTCTCTCGACAACAAGTCCCGATTCGCGTTTTGTAGCTCTCGATGCGATTCGGTTGGATTAAGCAGGTGGCCGTTTGCACTTATCATGCGTTAGACTTTCACCTTATCGCGGTGAATGTAACGTACTCCGAGGTGAACGTTAAGCTCATGCGTAGACGCGCCTTATACTTAAAGTGCACCTTATACTTAAAAAATTAATACACTTTATTTTTCTAATTCGATCTTATTGCTAGCTTTACATACGAACGCCTTCTTTCACGGACACGATCGTAACATATTCTACAAATGTCTTTTGTAAAAAAAAAAACCTCTATTTCTCAAACCTGATATATTACTCGCGCTTGCCTCGATATATAAAAAAGTGGAAGAATCTCCATATTCTTAGCCCGAACATCACCCCAATATTTTCTCTCAATCCCTACTTTTATTCCGACGTGCACATGTACAGAATAAAAACTTACGTTGATCTTGCGCAGAAAATAGCGGAAAAATACGTTGAGAATACGGAAATGAAAAGTGTGTGTTAAGAATACAGTAATAAAGAGATACGAAGAAGGATTCGACCGTGCTCGATAACGGTGAACGATAATACGCTGTCGTATCGGATCGGTTGCGCCTTAATTAATAATTTACTTACATAGCGGAACTAATTGCAAAATTCACGTCTAATTATCATCGGTGTTATAAATGCGTTAAAAATAGCTTTACACTTTCTAACTGTCTCGAAAAGACGCCAATCGAGGCATTTTCTTGCGAGGTGCGAATGTGCATCGGTCGCGCCTCTATACTTGACGCTTTCTGATTATTCATGTTTGCTGACAGATTACGCGGCTAATGTGCCGAAACCTTGAACAATGCGAGGGATTTAATCGAGCAGAAAACGCTTAAGAAGAAACTTATCACCTTAAATTGCTACAAAAATTTCAGCCACGTGTGAAATTTATATCTCATAAACTTAATATAAATAAAATAGAAATAGAAATAATAGAAATAATATAAAATAATATAAATAGAAATCTTAATATAATTAAATATTAATATAAATCTTAATATTATATAAATAGAAATCATTTACGCAAAAATAAAAATTTTTTAGATACGACTTTTTAATCTGATGTAGCCGCCTATTCTGTTTTTATAATGCTGTTATATTATATTATTAATGGATTGAGAAAATTAATGTTCAACTGCAACTTGTAATCGACTCCATTTCCACTAATCTTTTTAATTGCATGATCGATGCGATAATATTTATCCCGCGCAATAAGTGCTAGCTGCATTCTCGCAACCAGCATTGAATCTCCTGAAGCTTTACTTCTTAGAATCCGAGTGAGAGAGAAAATGAGGAAGGATTGTGGACGTGTTTTAAAGAAATCACACTTCGCGGAGAACGCGTTTCCTTCTTTCTCTCTCGTTTTTTTTTCCCTCTCTCTCTCTCTCTCTCTCTCTCTCTCTCTCTCTCACTCCCTCTGCCTCTCTCTCTTATGTCTGTTTCTCGAGTCGAGGGAAGAATTACTTTTGAAAGGCGAGCGGGCCAAGAAAATCGCGAGCACTCGACACATCTCTATCCACGACGAGCGTTATATGCCGTATGCGACAATGGATACGCTTTCCTGTGTACACACGATGATATCCACACGTACACACACATACACACACGTATACGCGTACGCGTGTCGTTGCATTTACAGGGATAAGCCCGCTCCTTTTCGAAGCTTTGACAAAAGTGGGCCAAGGTCGGCCGACTTTTTGCGCGCTTCTCCGTTAGCTTCTTCCGTTTGGGACACGCAGTATTCCGGTGTTATACGTATAAATCTCAAAAATATGTCTTCCCGTCGTATCTGTCGCGCGATGCGATTTTAAATGCCCGATCTTGATGTTTCAACAATGATACGACGTCGAATTCACGAAATTCGGTATTGTCGATGAAACGATAAATCTTTGGTCGCGAAGCAAATTACACGGGACGCACTTTGTCAATCTCACCGCTGCCACCAGCATCGTCGGATGACAAGAGTGTAACAGATGACCGTTCGCTGAAAGCGAAATTTACGAACGCGACGTGCAAAAATGCGCGTTGTGATTCGCGAGAAGCTCAATCAATTTTGCGCGTAAACGAATATATTTGAATCTAGCAAGATATCGGAATTCCAGACGACGAGAAAAAAAATCTCGTCGTCTGGAGAGATTCATTAGCGGACCGCCTACAAATTGATGTAGACACCCGGCCGCGATCTCACGATCTAAAATGGTAACGATGGGAATTAACAGCCCATCTCCGGCAGCTCCTTTGCTCGTACATATATCCGTGTGCAAACTAGGGTATGTGCGAGGTACGCGAGCATTGTTACCAGCGACAATGCAGAGGGTACACTGCGCAGGCTGTTCTAAGTAATAAAGGCTAATTAGACTTTAGTTCGAATCGTCACTCGGAGTGTCAAATTCACCTTCCAACTGAATGACATGGAAGCGTCATGAAAAAGCGTAAACTTCTCTTTCGGATTAATAATTAGCATATATTTAATTGGGTAATAAACATTTACCTAATTGGATTTCTCGAAAAAATACTAAATATTTATTAATAATTTTGATGGAATAAATTTCGCACACAAACAAAATTTGATAATCGATAAAATTAATCAAAATAGAAAAAACAACTTACACTTCGAGTAAACGAAATATACCGATATAACTATTGTATAATACTTTGTCGGATAAATATTTATAAATCTAGAATTAATATTTATATACTTGTCTATTTTTAAATTCTGTATAGCTTAATAGTTTATTTTCCGATCCTTACTCTTATTCTATGTTTGATTGTTTAGATGAATCGTGGAAAAAAGCGGGAAAAAAGTTAGCGTTCGGTTTGGGAAACGCATTGAAACGTTTATTTTTCCGCGTTCTTAAACCGACACGGTTTACTTTTCTATCGGCGATTCGATCTCCCGGCGATGATCTTTAAACTCGCAGAATGGATCAAAAAAATAACAATTACAGAAATCCATGTGAAAAATTCTACACACGTACCTGATATACACTGGACTCGAACGAGGAGGATCAGCAAAACCGTCGTAATCAGCCGGGAATGCGGCCCGGAAGAGTTGGACGTCCACCTTGGTCGCGACATTTTTGGCACCCTCTGCTTCCGGCGCGTCAGTCACGCCGTCGTATCCACGTACATCCCTGAAATTATTCGCCGTGAGTCGACGTCTGGCCCGAGGTCGACAAGCACAAAACCGTGACGATGCATCTCCGCAGGTTGCACTCATTATAATTATAAGCGCAAGGTGCAGCCTACGTGCGTAGGTAACCAGGCGCGTCGTGTAAAAGAAAAGCACGCGTTCTCATTCGCGATCAAGGGAACGAAAAGAAACAATCGTTTCGATTCGCGGGAAAAGTCGGTTTATTTATTCGACACAATTAATTTTGCGTTGTGCGAAAGGCAATTTCAGTTTTGCAATCGAGATTAAAAACTCCCACTGCAAATGCGCATTAATTTTGAAACTGCATTCCATACGTGATTTCTCTTATATCGGAAGAGAAATTGTTTACGTATTCTCAATTATGTTGTCTAGACTTATATTCGAGAGAAATAATATCCCCCTCGTGTTTAAAATCGAAACCGAACTTGTACGCGTAGAAAACAAATGCTCTTTTTCCGTCTTTTCTATAAAGTCTTAGAGTTTTATCGTATTACGTTTTTTTTCAATAAGATTCTTTAATCAATTTAGAGAATCCATTTTTCCTCTGCAATGAACGATTCGATTCGAACCAATCAGCCGAATCAATCTTCTCTATAAAAGCAGAATAATTTAAATATAATGTAGAAGAAAATTTAAAAATATTCAAATAACAATTTATCAAAAAATTATTTATCTTACTAATAATAATTTAGTAATAATATTTTTTAATCAATTTATATTGTTTCATTTTTCTTTGAATGATTTGGAAGATCGATTTAATTCAAATATTAATAGTTATATATATAATTATATATTTGTAGTATTTATATATTATATAGAGTTATATAATTATATATTTGATGTTAATATATAATTGGGGCATTGTTAAATAAATAAATTGATAGAGTTCTATTCCAGATCTTCAAAACTGATTGTGAGTTTAATCGTAAAATCTGGAGCTAAAGTTCAATCTATCTCCATCTAATCTTATGAAATGGCAAAAAAGATATATATAGTCCTTGCAAAATATTGCACCAATTTCACACTATTCGATGCGGATACTACCTGTCAATTGCCGCGTGTAGGAAGCTCGTGTGTGCGCGCCTAGAACATGTGAAAAAAACATGGCGACAAATCGACGCGAAGATCTATGCCGAGGTTCTTGCATACCCGCGATTTCACTTTCGACGAAACAAGCGACCGTAACTCGAACAAATTGACGTTACGCGAATCGTGCCTGCTTGATCAATATGATATTTTCTGAGGGAAGAAATATGCTCTCTTTAGGGAGAATTGTTTTTATTTGCACCCACGCGCGCGTGTCTCTCTCTGGAAACAAATCTGCATTTATATTAAAGTGTGATTGTTCTTTATAAGAAAAAAAAAACGCTCATGCAAGATTCAAAAAGGATGGAGAAACTACCGATTACAATCTTAAAAACGTTTCTCTTCATCACGCACTTTTATATTCTATATATTCTTTCCGTCTTTGCCGGATCAAACTTTCGCTCCGTTTCACGCATCGCGTTTCACGAGCAAAATGTCATTTATCTCGGCCAGACGCGGGTCACGTGTGCGTGTCGCGCATCAATGATCGTATATTATTGAAATTCCGACATAAAAAAAATTCACCGTGAAATGATAAATCTTTTTCGAAAAAGCTTGAAGAAGACAAATGGAAGTAAGACGTAATAGAGAGAGAAAATAAGACAATTAAAAATATTCAAACATTTCTCTCCAGATCTACATTAAATATTTAAATTGTATTCATCGTAAAAAAACACTCTTTAAGAATTGATTTTTCTTGAAAAATATTCACACCCATACCGTTCATAAGGCAAAGCAATACAAATTTAAAAAATTGTGCTCTTATTTTTGTATTAATTAAAGTAGCATTTATAAAAACTAGAAAAAATTAAACTTTTGTTTCATAAAAATTAAAGAACTTCCTGCACGTACAAGATTGATAAGATAAATAAGAAAAATTATTATTGAAAATATGTAAGAGATATACATTATTGTTGTATAAATTAAATATGAAACATATTGTAAGATATCAAGACAAATAATAAATCTAATAAATCGGATTAAATTAAATCGAAAAAGAAAAAGAAAAAATATATTTCAGTCTGTCTTTTTTTATTATTCTTGATTATATATTCAATTTATCCTTTAACATGTTTTTAAGAGAGTAAACTTAATTACAGTGCTGAGAATATTATCCATTATTCTTACAAAGAAAAGGACAAGTTTGTTGTCTTTTCTTTTGGAAAATTTTAATAGACAGAATTTTGGCTCGCGATTGCTCGCCAATATAAAATGATTCTGCTTCTCGCGACGTTTATTTCCCGGTGAAAATGTTGAGCGACAATAAAACGATGGTAAGTAACGCATTTATAGATGACCTTAAGATTGAGGAGGAACAGCGTTTATTGATTCGTCGATAATAAAAATCAGCCGTTTGAAGCGCGGATGGTCCATGTAGAAAGCTAAAAATGCGCTGCGTAGGTGTCTGGATCCGAATGACGGAGTCAAGTGCGCTCTCGGGTAATCGGTTCTAAAAGCGCGAACATACCGAGGAACATCCTTTCGAGCGAACATACATATTCCTTCTTCGATAGTTCTTATGACCCGTGTAATATCGATATGCTTCCTACATGCGCAAGAAAGCAAGAGAATCAGGAAAACTTTCGCTATTACGTGTTTCGCGAGCCAACAGTAGCTGTCATGCTAGGAGGTTTCCAGGCATCATCGAGCCGATAGAAAAATAAACTGCCACACAGTATAATTTACCATTCACCGCACAGCGCGGGGCCTGTTGTATTTTACAACTTTAATCCCGCATGAGCGATTCATTATCGAACAGAGAAGAAAGGAAATAAATGATTATCCAGATGACAAGGGACAAACGACATTGACGGCAAAAACGGTGATTTCTTATGTTGGACGCTAATTGGGTTGCACACTTACACACCATTCAAACGTGAATGTTGTAAAAGACACCTCTGACTTTTCAGAGAAATAAAAGTTCCAGAGTTATGAAATATTTGATCACACATGTATTATATATGAAACATTACGTATATTATATATAAAACGTTGTATTTTTTATACAATGATAAAATAAAGTGTGGATTCAAATCGTTGGATCGTTTTCATTTCATTTTGAAATTAGATTGAAAAATTATATAATGCAAAAGTGATTTGATGCACTTTTTCAAAAACTTGAGAAAATTAATGGAAGTTTTTATCAACTGTACGATTAACTTTCTCAAGTCTTTAAAAAGGCAAGTTAAACCACTACTGCATTGAATTTTTCGATAAAGAAATTAGAGTTGGGTCAAATCTTTTAATTAATCAAATTAAAAATACCTCGCGTTATACAACTATTATCTGGAAATAATTCATATTAATGAAGACTCTGTCTCTCTTAATGCAATATCGAAAACAAATTATGGAGTGTGTCTTGCTTTTGTATCTCCCGATTTCCAAACTCGATATCAGTTGCCAGCCGCTTTTTTTTGTTCGCTAGCGATAAAATGGTAAAACTTTCGCTCTAGTTCGTGCCTTTACGAGTGAACGGGATTTGTCGCGGTCGATTGGACGAGTGTGCACATCGTCGTTGTACGGCACGTTTTTGTCACGCAATTTTATATCGAAGAATCGAATCCACGAGACTCGTCGGACATGATGTGACACACTTGGACATGTCGACTTTTTCAAGAAATGTCAAAAAAAAACTACCCGTTCATTCGAGATGACCCGATCGTGGGCGGCGAATCTTCACTAACCTTGTATACAGAGCACCAGACGGAACCGCTCGACAACTTCGCACCGGAAACCCAAGGTCTCGCACTCCGAAGATATTCCGCACGACACTCTCCGATTGATCGCGAATGAACTCCGGCTTCTTCGCGCGAGATAATAAAAGAGCGAACGCGAATGACACCGTTTGTCGGACAAAATCTCCTTCGGGATACCTGAGGATGAGTCCGAAGAATGTCTTCCTTCTCCCTCGCTGTCCACCTGATGGACACTTTTGCCTAGTTTCGCGTTTCACGAGTGACTCTCCTCTGGCATTGGTCGCGGATATATTTGACCACTTTCGGTGCACTTTAAATCGTCCCCCTTCCCGCGAAGGTGACCCCCTCTTGAAATGTAACCTGTCGCTGTATCGGTTCCAGGTGATTCGTACCTAGTACACACGGCACCGTTTACGTGCCTCGTACGAGGAAGGAATGGCTAAATGTTCACCGTACAGCTATAGCAATGTATCTAACTCTCTTCTAGATTTACCCCCCTTCCGGATGTCCTTTCGCTTTCAACGGCCAGTGACCACCGATACCCCGCTCTCTTGCATCGTGTAGCAACGAACGAGCGCGACCTTACTTCCTTCGTTTAGAGACCCCTTTCGATGCACTCTCGCGGATCGTATTGCGGCAGCATGACTTTAGATCTTCGAGCGTTTAAGAGGTTGAAGGTGTGGTGCATTATTGTGACATACGTGTCAAGTTCATGGTCTTTCGCTTGGTTAAAATTCAGATTGATTAATTCCGTCGCGTTACTTTTGGGATGAAAATAAAAGCAAATTGATTTTTCGACCGATATATTATGTGCGTATGTTGTGTATTTATATAATAATCTTATATAATAATAAATTATACGTAATCCTCGAAATAAATTTTTTTTCATTTAGAATAGAATATTAATTAATAATTATGGATATTCAATATTATAAATAATTAACATTTAATATTATATATTTACATTTAATGTTATTATAAATATATGTATATATATTTTTTGATAATTACACATAAACATTTAATATATTTAATATTATCGAAAAATATTTTATTACATATTATTTATAATAAAAGATTTAGTTATAATATAATTACATAAAATCACATTCTTTAAATTTATTCTGTTTTGATCAGAATTGCAATTCAAGTTACATTCGGTCAACTGCTTTACTTTCGATTGCGTATAACGCGGAAT